GCAGCATGAGCCAGGTCCTGCTACAATGAGTTTCAGAGTGCGCTACTGCCATTTCTAGCAACATATCCAGCAACTTTTCCAGCAGCCAGAACAACCCAGCATATTGCTGATTGTCATGACATCCATTCCCATCAAGAAAACAAAATTCGAAAAGCAGGGCATCCGAAATCCAGGCTGGAAAAAACAAAAAAAGGCAGTATCATTGTTCACAAAAAGACAATACAAAACGAACGTGTACATACCCGAGAATAGAATCATGGGGTTCAGGTAGTATGTAACGCACTGTTGTATGCATGAACTGAACGAAAAGATCTGTACGACAGGTCCAATAGGCTGATGGGGAATTGTGCCCGTACAGCTGCCAAGGATATGCTCCATTGAAAATAGACCATTAGCGACTTCTAATATATGAGTAGCCCATTCTATCTCGCCAAGGATATGCTCCATTGAAAATAGACCATTAGCGACTTCTAATATATGAGTAGCCCATTCTATCTCGCCATAATAGATGCTGTATGTGTCTCGGAAGTTGCCCAATATCTCTTTCCAAAGTTTTGACAATGTCAAAATTTTGTAGTCAATTACTATTCAAGAGGTCAATTTATTTTGTATCTCAAGGGAGGGTCGTTTTGAAAAAGTACAGGAGCTTAAATTGGTCTTGCTATTATCTATTTCTTCATCTTCCAATTTTCTTGTTGTTCTACAAAAGAAACTAAGTCTTTATATTTACAAATTTTCTTTTAAGTTGAAATTCGTATGCAATTTATTAATAGTTATTTGTGAACTTGGCCCTTTCGTTCATTGTTATTGTCCACATTTTTTAATATAATATTGTTTATCAAAATAACCTAAGGTTAGGTTGTTTATATTTTCTATAATGTATTATTCTAATTTGAATTAAAATATTGATGGCTATTGGTGTAGTGACATGAATACATTACACACAGGTCTCTTCAAATGAGGATAAATGAGTAGTATGTGAAGTACACGGTCATCTACATTCATGATTATTCAGATTAATTTGAGGCTTGCGTGCAGGTATTATGACCCGTGCCAAGCATAGGCTAGCCTAAGCTTGGGTTCTATTAATACTAAGATTACGTTCAGTCTTCGAAATTTTAGCATAGACAATAATATTGTTAACCCTCAAAATACACCATTGGAAGAATTAGAGATCTCATTTGTGCATTCAAGATAAATACAACATCCAAGCAACTAAAGTTTTAGAGTACCACATTTTCTCAGCATTTGTCCATTTGCTCATTTTGTCTTTTGAGGTTTGCAAACAAAAATGTCCATTGATGAGCAAATGCTTTGGCGTAATTCAAGAGCTGAGATATTGAATATGAATGAGGAGGACATCCTGAAAAGAAATAAGAATACAAAGATACGTATAAAGAAGGTACATTTCCAAGCATACAAAAATTATAATTTTCAGTATGTATACATCTAAAAATGAATGGCAACCCATAAGAAATGCATTATTTCATCGTCAGCATCATAATTTTCCTCTCATCAATCAAACACAAATCTAAGATCAATATCTTGTGACATATTCAACAATCTCTAGGTCTTGCATCTATGTATCTCATTATAATGTTTGACTAAATATTCATAATTATGATAACTATTTTTGAAGAAAAATATAAACTGGACACGTAGAAAATCACATATAAAATCCAGGTTCGGTATTATCAAGGCTACTATATAGACAACAACTATGTAAAAATTATTCATGGTTTTCAACGCAACCTGAATGTTGGATCACCTCCTAATGTACTGTGAATAACTATCAATGTTTTCAACGCAACCTGTGAAGTTCATATAAATTTAATTATTTGTCTGGGAGGATCTGAACAGGATCAACCCGCAACAACATCAGATCAGATGGATCTTAGTAGCTATCAACTTTCAACAGCTTTACAGAAGTAAATATTATAGACCAATACTCCATGCAGCTTAGGATTCACTGATTATGTTTAATTTATTATAGGAATATCTCGGTAGAATATAATTTCGTAGCTTCAGCAGATAACTATAATAAGAAATGTTATGTTGTATCAAAGGCTTGATTTTATTGGCTATCGCACATAGTTGAACATGAATTAACCATCAATTTAGAGTTATTCATACAACTGAATTCAATTCAAGTTCACATTTTTATGTAAAGCCAAATAACAGTCGATACAAATAATAAAATCAGCTATAGATTCAACTTTAACCACATTCACAATTTCATATATTTGCACAGTTTTAACATAACAAATCAAAAGCAAAATAATGAAGATCTGGGATCAAGATCAGACCTTTGTATTAGCTTGAAATTTAAGTTATATGATGTAACTTGCATTAAAACATAAATCAAGAAAACATAGAGTAATAACACTTCCTCCTCATGCAAACTATTGCCTATCAATTCAACATAAGCCCATGTCACTCCTCAACTTTCACCAAATAATTAAATAGTTAGCCCATGAAACTCATATTTAATAAAAAAATGATGCATGGTCTTTAAATAAGAAATTCACTTCAGAATGAGTAAGAATCAAAATCAAACCTCGGATTTCTAACGTAAGTCCAAAATGTGTTTGTCATTGCATAAAATGCGTCATATTGCTTGCATCATTGCATTTCCTATCCAAAAAGAGGGAGAGTACTGAACCAAACATTAATTTGATAAAAAAAAATAAAGAAGATTATGACATCTAAAACAATTATCTTCTCTATTTCATTATCATCGGAGAACCAACAGAAAAGACAGGTTAAACAAATGATAGTAATCATCTCTAATACTAAGAAAATAAATGACTCTAATCATTTACTTAATAAACAAATGATACTAAAGAACAAATTGAAATCTTTAAAAGTGGATACAATTACAATTCAATACATCATAGAGATACATAAATATATAAACAGATTGTTGGATCTATGAATAATATAGGAGTGATATAATTAATGCTTTGTGTCGTATCATATCCAGAAAGATGGTTATTTTCAGTAGTTACAACAAAAATAAGTAGCTAATATTAATTAAGTCTTCAATATATTTCCTCTAACATGTTCTAAACCCACCAACGTTTACATCAAAATGAGAGAGAGTTTAACCAATAAATTAAAAGTGAAAGAGAACTCATCATTTAATTTGGAGTAATAAAAATTAAAGTCCTATCAGATTTTATTTTTTAAACAGTTCAATTGGGAAAAAATAGTAAAGAGGTTAAAATAGCAAAACCCAGATTCATGAAGACTATACATGAGGCACTGTTGTGATCTACGTTTATAGTGTCAAATAATTTACTCAATGTCAAGAAACTATTGCTAATTATTCTCCTTGTTTTGCAGGACATTGATATATATAGGCTTTGCAATCAGGCAACATGCAACATGAAAACGGTAACATGACAAACTACTTGGATTTACTCAATGTCAGATTTCTTAATAAAGATGGTAAATAACAGTGAAGATAAAATCAAAGGCTAGACTTAAGAAGATTTTTTCGAATTATCTGATGCAGTGAGAGCTAATTTTCTTGAGTTAATTATGAATGTAATGAATGTAATTGTATTATAGTGGGAACTTGGAGGGAGAAATATGAGTTTGGAGGGAGAATAGATGATTTCATTAGCTTGGTTATATTTGAACTTCAAATATATGGTAAAAGATATTTGAGGGGATGAAAATAATTATTTTAATCTTTATTTTTTGAATTAAACCGCTCAAATTGTACATGGTTGTATTTCCACATTTTTTTCTAACTATTGGAAAAAAAACTGAATATAATGGAATATAATATTAAAAAAAGGGGATGGAATATAATACCTAATAAATTGAGTTTTGTTAGGATCAAGGAATCTTCAACCTACAATTGTTTAAAAAAAAGACAATAAGTCAACTAAATATAAAATGGAAAAAAGTCAGAAAGCAATGAATATTTTGATGACATATTAAATACTCGATAGCAAATGAAAATTAGGGAAAAAAATTGCATAACGTATAGCTTCTATAGGTACAGAAACTAATTATATCAACTTAATTGACATAAGGTTTCTTAAAGGACATACATGTAAAATGATCTCCGAGCAGACTTTTTAAATATCACCTCACTTAAGAATGGTAATTAACTAACCAATCCTGAATGATGATGGCTATGATGTAAGCTTTTGTGCCTTATGCATGTGATAAATACTTCTCCTGAGCCTATTTGATGAAATGCACGTAGGAAGTGATCAATATGAGAACGCTAATTGGAGATTAGAGATAACTTGGAATTAAAGAATCGTCAACATGGTGATGCTAATTTAGCATATATTGGAAGTTAAATGATCATGCTATCTTATACATGCAATAAATATTCTACAACTCTTCCAACCTAACCTTCTATGGAAATATTAAAAGAGGGAAAGCTTAGAAATATCATGATAAAGGTTGTTTTACTTAAAGTTCAACTATCATCATCTTATATTTATATTTCTAATCTAAACCAAGTAACTACAAACAGAGAACGAAAAATCAAGCAATTCTTTTCACCACAAAAAAAATGCTACAGTGATGATGTGATTAAATACTGCAAATTTTCAACTTTCATAACCTATATCTCCATAAAAATTAAGTGAAACTGTAAGTGGATGTCAATATGTATATTGTACAATGTAGAAAAAATTGTACTATAAGACAATTTCTTTAATATACGTCAATTTTCTGGCTCAATGAAATTATACCAAATAATTTCAAAAATGTCTGAAAATATTGTGAGTTTGTCTTTGAGACTCATAAATACTTAGCTTTTTGAGCTTGTGAGAGAAAAAAAATTCAGCATTCAGAAAATTTCAGAAGTGCTTTGATATGTAATTGCTTAGTGTCCATAGAAAATAACAGAAAAAGGCTAAGATTTAGAGTCGATGCCATTTTTTACCTGATTTGTAGCGTACGAAGCATTGTGAAGTTGGAAAAAAGCAAGGAATATATTGCAATAAAGCATTGATTAACATAATTTAGCCTCATGATAAAACACCACACTTAGAACTGAAGCATGGATTAACAATCAATTGTATTTGATTAGCACTAACCTTTAAATTGACAATGGAAAAAGAAGAAATAAGGAAAATGATCTTAAGGACGTGATTTCAAAAAAATAATTCTATTTGAGCCAAATTACATGAAAGTGTATGTTGGTGGGAATTTGGAGGGAGAATACATTAATTGAAGGCACGATAGTAATATTTGAAATTCAAATATACAATGAAAGGCATCTGAGGTGATTGATACCTATTACTATATTGTATAATTTTTGATTTAAGAGCACAAATTGTAGAAACGTCACTACTAGAAACAGGACTTTTAGCGACGGACAAATCCGTCGCTAAATGTCATAAATCCGTCGCTAAAGGTTTTAGCGACGGAAAAAATAAAATTCCGTCGCCAAAAAACCGTCAGTACAGTGAGGGTAGCTAAAACCATTTTTAGCGACGGAATATCCGTCGCTAAATTTCAGCGATGGAAAATTAGCGATGGATAATCCGTCGCACTATTTTTTTTAAAAAAAGAAAAAAAACATTAGCGACGGAAAATCCGTTGCTAAAACATCTTTTAGCGACAGAAAATCCGTCGCTAATATGTTTTAGCGACGGAAAATCCGTCGCTATAACTATTTTTTTTTTAAATAAAAAATAATTAAGACGAATTTTCCGTCGCCATTAACATTAGCGACGGAAAATCCGTCGGTAATGTTTTTTCCCGTATCTATTTTCCGTCGCTAAAAGTATATTTAGCGACGGGTAATCCGTTGCTAAATATTTCTAATATATTTTTAAAAATAATTTAAAAATTGAAAAAACCTGTACAATAATATAATAAATTTAAAAATCTGTTCAATCAGCAGTTAATATTTATTCTCACGCATATATAACACATATAATTTAATTAAAATATTCCAACATAATAAACGTTGTTTATACAGCACACACCATGATAAAAATTGTTTATACAACACACTCATTCATTGTTTTCAAAGGTAAAAAAACAAATCAATCCTCCTGATCATCATCATCATCCTCCTCATCACCAGCTCCACTTTGTCTAGAAGTCCCAGCCTGCAAATATAAATCAAACGTTAACATGGCATGACATTCAAGTATAGCAATAACAGAGAGTATCATGGCATATTCTTATGTATTATATGCACGCACGCACAATTTTTACAACAACGCATGCACACCCTAACCCCGCAAGGAAAGCTACTCCTACCTAATAGCAAGATAGAGAGAGGTCTTAGCCCAATACGTGTACATGCACATACGCGTACACGCACAATACGCGTACACGCACAATTTTCTCACCATACGCGCATGTACGCGTACATGCTGATACGTGTACATGCACATACGCATATACGCACACACGCACGCACACGTACACGCGCGCATGCATGCACACACGCATACACGCGTGCATGCACGCACGCATACACGCGTGCACGCATGCACGCACGCGTACATGTATCCACAAAAAAAGTACTGGAAAATGTTTTACCTTGGCAAGAGGAGCTAGGCAGTTGGTTGTGCAGCTAGCGTTGGAGACAATGTTAAGGTCTGGTGTGTATGACTTATGGTTCACTCCCATCACAAACATTGGTGCATCTTTGCTTGGTGCAGAGATGATAACTTTCTTGGCACCACCCTAAAAACATTACGATGTAATCCGGTGTTAATAAAATAAACTCATGTAATCCGGTGTTAATAAAATAAACTCACCGGCAATATACATCATTATATTGTACACAACAAGTCCAACTGGGTAAGAAACAATATGAGGAAACAGAAAAGAGTCTAAGTAGAAACTATCAGAATAGGTTGACAAATGTGTGAACTATGTGATGAAAAAGAAATTTCAGACTGCTTAAAATAAAAGCAAAAAGGGTTGCCTTCATAACTAAGATTCAAGGATTGGCAAAAAATTTGAAGTCAGGAGATTGTTCGAAATTATAATATTCTGTTTTACCAAATTACCATAATGAAAGAAGTTTCAACTTTCAACACTGACACTATTATTACTTTCAAATGAGCCCTGTGGCAAAATCAAATTCCTAACTATAAGAGAAAATACCTTCAAATAAGCAGCAGCCTTGTCCTTGTCAGTGAAGACACCAGTTGACTCCACAACAAAATCTGCACAAGCCTTGCCCCATGGGATCTCCTCTGGGTTCCTTTAAAACCCAGTAACAATTAGCTCACCAAAAAACAATACATAACAAAGAAATAAACACTATCGAGAATGATATGAAAGACAACACTAAGAAAAGGATGCCAACCTGCAACCAAATACAGCAACTTGCTTCTCACCAAAGAGAAGGGTGTTAGAGTCCTTGATCTTGATGTCGTGGTGCTTCCATTGCCCATGGACATTGTCATACTTAAACATGTAGGTCTGCAGAAAACCATTAACACCATTAATAAAACAATCTATACGCAAAGCCTTCTTTAAATGAATGAGATATTTGTTTATCCAAATATTATTGTCATGATCAGTCCCCCCCCCCTGAAATACAGATTAATCAATATTCAATATAATGAACATTGCACGAGAACAACTGCAAGAGAAGACCCTGACCTATTTCGAAGTCCTAGTAAGCAGAAAAAGCATCTTCCAGAAAAACTGACTGTTTAAAAACACTAGAACTCATGTTAGGTCCTTATGGCACCAGCCAAGACTGCTAATAAATATGGGCATCTAAAAAAGATTGGTAGTTTAAATTATAAGTCCATATTATCAGACAAGGGACAACAACAATAAAAGGGCCCTTTCAGAGAGGCCATCGTGTAAATTGTAGATATCAGAAGGTAATAAATATGGGCATCTAAAAAAAGAAAAGTAAATAATGTTGGATCATCTACAAGAAGACTATACTGTTAAGCAATTACAATGCTGAAAACTATTATGTTAGCATCACCTTTGTTAGCAACTAATATTGCATTTCAGAAAATTTGTTAGCAACTAATATTGCATTTCAGAAAATTTGTTAGCAACTAATATTGCATTTCAGAAAATTTGTTTACTGATATATCTAAAGTTTCATAAAGTGAAAATCCTACCATAATAATAAATATTGGAAACAACTATAATAGATTTAAGCAAAACTTCTATAGATAATGGGGAAAACCTCTCGCAGAACATTACTGAATAGTGAAGTCCACCAACCTAATTCTATGATATGCAACGAGACATTGATCTACATGTTAGTATAGCTATCTAAACAAAAATGCATACATTTGTAAACCATATTACTTACAAATCAAATGGCGCCAGACGCACGTTTTTCCGATAACTAAAAAAGTAAAATGAGGAGGGGGGATGAGGAGAGAGGTGAATTGAGAGAGGGATTTGGGTATAAATCCTTTCTCAGGCGCGGGCTGTCCAAAAAATTTGGGCACGTCCGCGCCCAATTTTTTTCCCTGAAAACTTCTTTAGCGACGGAATATCCGTCGCTAAAGATATTTTTAGCGACGGAAAATTCCGTCGCTAAAGAAGTTTTTAGCGACGGCACTTTTAGCGCTGCTAAAAACCTCTTTAGCGACGGAATTTCCGTCGCTAAAGACTTCTTTAGCGACGGAATTTCCGTTGCTAAAAACCCGTCGGTAAATTTAAAGCAACGGAAAATTTCCGTCGCTAATATATCCATTTCCGTCGGTAAAAAATGTTTTGCCTACGGAAATATAGCGACGGAAATTTCCGTCGCTATATGTCATGTTATAGCGACGGAAATTTCCGTCGCTATATTTCCGTAGGCAAAAGCCCGTTTTCTAGCAGTGTAATTAACGTCGTAATTGCTGAACTATATTTCACTTTATAGCTTTGTACCTGATTTATGTAATTATAAACTTGGTAATGATTGAAAATAATATTACATGTGCTTTGTAATTATGACTATGAAATATGCATATGAATGTGTACCTGATTTGAGACACTACTTCCCTATTACATGATTTGCAACAGACTTGTCCTGATTTGAGACACTGCTTCCCTATTACATGATTTGCAACAGACTTGTCCTGAAGTTGATTGTTTGTTTTTTTTTTGCACAATCTCGACATCTAGTTCCTTCACAACTCTAATGATTTACACATTGCATATGGAAAAGTAGTCCTATAATTGCAGAAGATGGTGTTATCATTTATTAAATAGATAACTCACTAATGTTAATAGAAAAGTAGTCCTATAATTGCAGAAGATGGTGTTATCATTTATTAAATAGATAACTCACTAATGTTAATATGCAATACAACTTCATAAAGTGGTGGTTGTGAAGCCTTTATTGTTTCTGGTTGAGTATCAGAGAAAGAGACAGATGCCGTCAATAATTGCAAGTTATTCTCACTGTGAGTATTTCTGCATGTATAATGAATAAGTTATCAGTTATATAGATTGTTGTAAACAAATGCAAATAAGGGAAAACAATTTGATAATAAAGAAGAACAATAGACTTGAGAGGAGATTAAAGAGGGAGAGAGGATAAAATGAGTTTTGTTAGGATCAAGGAATCTTCAACCTACAATTGATCAAAAAAAGGCAATAAGTCAACTAAATATAAAATGGAAAAAATGTCAGAAAGCAATGCATCCTTTGATGAAATATTATTAAATATCAAACACTCGATAACAAATGAAAATTAGGGAAAACAATTGCATAACGTATAGCTTCTATAGGTACAAAAACTAATTATATCAACTTTCATAACCTATAACTCCATAAAAATTAAGTGAAATTGTAAGTGGATGTCAATATGTATACTATACAATGTAGAAAAAAATGGAACTATACGTCAATTTCAGAAGTGCTTTGACATGTAATTGTTTAATGCCCATAGAAAATAACAGAAAGAGGCTAAGATTTAGAGCCAATGCCATTTTTTACCTAATTTGTTGTGTGCGAAGCATTGAGAAGTTTGAAAAAAGCAAGGAATAGACTTTAAATTGATTAACACAATTTAGCCTCATGATAAGACATTGATTAGAACTAAAGCATGGATTAACAATCAACTGTATTTGATTAGCACTAACCTTTAAATTGACAATGGAAAAAAGAAGAAATTAGGCAAAGGATCTTCTCAAGGACGGGATTAACCAAAAATAGTTCTATTTGAGACTTTAAATGAAAGTGTATGTTAGTGGGAATTTGGAAGGAGAATACATTTATTGAAGGCATAATAGTTAATGAAAATAAATTTGTATTCACATAGAGTTTAAATGAAAACCATTCAATGTTAATAAAAATTGTTACTCAGATCCAAATTTAGTTTTGCAAAGGAAAATGGTTACTCCCAGGATTTCTAGGCCAATAATGCTCTACATTATCAGTTCTTCACATGGTCATGCTAATAAAGTTGCATCACATCTTTTTATCTTGCTATTTGGTACCCCTTTAGATTCTAGAACTCCTCAACGCCTTTCTACAACTAAATTATCCCTTTTATAGTATCCTAAATTCGTAAAATATGCATCAAAAGACTTTTACCTTGGATATCTTAAGTTTAATAAACTCATCTGTCTGTCATATGTAAAAGTACCTAATCTAATCCTCAGTGAAGTCTAAGATGTGCTATGTTCTTATTTTAGTTATCCTTTGCAATTTTCAACCATGGTTTCTAGTCTGACGTATGTCCTTAATCACATCAATGTAAATACTTGAAACTTATTTCTTTTCTAATCCACCAATTAGTTTCTTAGGGACCTAACAATTTTTTGGCCTAAATCAATAACAACCACATGAAAATATGTTTGATTCTAGAAATTTCAATACATTATTTTAGTATGTAAATAGCATCCAATGTCATCTTACCCAGCAAGAAACCAAATTTTTTTAGATGGTATTTTTTCCTTCTCCCGTAAACCATCCTCAAAGAACAAACTCCACGAAATTTGTCTATAAATTTGATTTCATTTTTTCCTTCTCCCGTAAACCATCCTCAAAGAACAAACTCCACGAAATTTGTCTATAAATTTGATTTCACACTCCTGATCATAGCACACCATCCTCAAAGAACAAACTCCACGAAATTTGTCTATAAATTTGATTTCACACTCCTGATCATAGCACAATTAGAAAAAAAAATGCTTCTTAATGTGTTCTCCTTTAAACTTTGATGAAAAAAGAATCACATCTGAAGTGTCAACTTATACTCACCATTTACAATTGAACAATTTTAATATCAATACACAAACTTTTTCATTTGAAGTTAAGTATAAAGAAGCATCCTTGAATGTAGTCTATTAACAATTTACTTAAACCTAACAATTCAAGAAAAAGATTCGATCTTTGGGCAACATACCTCAGCAAAATTGGTGAACTTATGATCCCTATTGACCACCAATCTATGAACCTAACAAATTAAACAAAAAGGATAAATATTCAAACAAAAATCAAAGAAAATGTCTAGGTTTATGCAAAGGGGAAGAGATCAGACCTCGTATTCGACCTTGTGCTTCTCTGATTCTTCAATAGGGACGTAGTATTTAGCAAGCCGAGTTCATGATGCCCATGACCTTGTGCTACTCCTCCACTACTGGTACTTCGCTAAGCAGGCTCTTCGAGGTACCCATCAAAAACCCTAATTTTAGATTTCTTTTTCCCTTCAAAGTTTGATTTGATTTGGTTCCTGATCTCAGCCGGAATCAGCATCTGGAGCTCCGGCTTCGCCCCGCCGGTGATGACGTCAAGAGCGGAAGTCCTGATGGAGAAGCTCCGGCGGGAGCGGATGAGAGAGGAGATCCTTGCGAGAGAGATCGCTAACAATAGAATGATGGAGGAGGAGATCAGTAGGGAATTGGAGTTTGAGAGGCAAATGGCGATGAGAAGGTTTGGAGAAGAGGAGATGGAGTCTAGGGTTAGCATCGGAATGGGAGAGAGATTAGGGCCTGGATTTATGTCAGAGAGGGAAATATTGCTGTCTCGTGGGAGGGCCTGGATTTATGACGGAGAGGGGTGTGTTTTGAATTTTGAATTTTGGGTTGGTAGGGACAGAGGGGTTTAAGCTGATACGGGATATAGGCGTGAGAAGAGCGAGAATGGGAGGAGAGAGAATTACTGTAGCATGAACAGTTATTCTCTGATCCTACCATTTGTATAGAAGAATAGATGCAACAAGTTTCTCCTAATACATCATCAGGTAGTAACAAAAGATCACCAGTTGAAGATGTGCTTGAAAGATCACCTAAAAAGACAGCGATAAAGAAAATGAAGTTATGCAATAAGGGCAATAGATCAGATGCAGGGCATATGTGATGGAATGCAAAGCATGATGATATTCTTATTTCTTACTTAGCAAGTTTAGCAAAAAAGGCTTCAAAAAGTTTTAAGAAGTCTGCATTCAATATGACACCATGCTATATATACAACCATTTTGGGATTGAGTCGGCTAAGGAGCATGTCATGAATCATATGAAAAGTCTTCGAATTTGTTTTTATGACATGTAAAATTGTCATAACCTTAGCGGGGTGGGATGGGATGAAAATAGGCAAACCATTATTATGGATCAAGATTGTTTTGATAGGTGAAAAAAGATATGTGTAATTGACTATATTTTAATAACACTAAAAAATATTTAGCCTATTGTGCAGGATTAGAACAACTACATACTTAAAGATTACATTAACAAGTGTATTGAAATTTAGTCTTTTAAAAGACTAAATTTTAGCCTATTGTGCAGGATAAGAACAACTACAAGCTTAAAGATTACATCAACAAGCCTTTGAAACACTATAAAGAACTTGCCATTATCATTGGTGATGATCAAGCTAGGGGTGATCTTACCAAGGATGTGTTAAGTAAAATTAGTGGTCATCGTGCTATTAATCTTGGTGATGAGGAGGATAATGGTCCAGAAGTTCAGGACCTAGATGTGTATGAGACTTAGTCCCAAAGCAAGGAGAGGTCTAATTCTACAAACTTTCAATCATTTTTAGGTGTAGGTAATGCTAAAAATCCTACAAAAAAATTAACAAAGGCAAGGGTCTAAAAGCTAGCATGGACACTGAGCTTATGAAACAAATAGTTGAAGAGAAGAAGGAGTTCTCAGCTTCTATAAAAACAATCAATATGCATTGGATAGAGAATCTCTCTCATTCTGTCTTTACATATAAAGATCAGTATCCTAGTGCTATCTTGGAGATGTTCTTTG